GGGTGATGAAGGGTTGATCTGAGTAGCTGTGTGGAGGTTGCACTAACAGAAAGAGCAGGGTGAAGAGACAGACAGATGGACTGAGGAGCGTTCTAGGTTAGTCAAGTTTGTCTTCTGAATGTGTGATGTCTGAAGTATCTAAGACTAAAGGTGGGGACTTGACTATTGAGTCTGGACCCGCAAGAGGCTCAAATCTACAAGCACACTGGGTGTTCCAGGAACACTTGATGCCAGGGAACTCATGACACCTTACCCTAGAGAGGGTGAGAGAAGTCTGGGTACCAGGTCCAGAGCCAGTGCAGGGGTTAGAGCGCCTCAAAGGAGGAGGGAATGGTTCGGTGAGCATGTGAGGGGAGCAAAGGCTGCTCAGAGCTAATGTGGCAAGGTCCCGTTTCCTGCGGGGACTCCAAGGCAGGCAGGGAGTGGACAGCTTCACAGAGGGAAAGGGGAGGGCTTCGGGTCTGCCCTGGTTGGAGGCTCCTGGCCTGGGAAGCTGCAGGGGGGCTAGTGGGAGGTAGGTCAGAGGGCATGTTTGGCTGCCTCTGACGGGACAGAGATGGGGGAGACGTCAGGGACTGATCAAGCCCTGGCCCTCTGGGCCGAATGCTAAAGATGTGATTTCTGAGCTTCCTGGACTGGAGATAGCAAGCTGACTTCCTCCGGGTCTGACCCATGGCAGACTGGCTTCCTGGCTGCGTTGTTTTCTTATTTGTAGATAAAGGAGATGGTGTTCCAGGCGGGCTGCTGTAGGTGGTGAGCCAGAGCTCTGTTGTCCATGTGGTTTGCTCACCGTCCATTGGTACACTGAGTCTCTCTGAGAATCAAACAGGGCAGGAACCCACAGGAGAAAGAAAGAGGGGGAAGGAGAGGAGGGGGAAAGGGAGGAGGGGAAGGGGAGGAGGGGGGATACGGAGGGGGGATAGGAAGAAAGGAGAGGAGAAGAGAGAGGAGGGGAGGGGGAGGGGAAAGGAGGGGAAGGGAGGGGAGGGGAGGGGAGGGGAGATACCTACCAGCAGAAACATCCTCTAGGAAGTCATGAAGTCTTAGCGGGGGGTGGGGGTGGCACACGGGACAGTGGCAGAAGCTGCTTACCTATCTCCTGTCGGCTAAGAAGATGATGATGACAGGGAAGGTGAAGGTGTTCCAGACAAAGAGGAAACCCAGCCATTGCTCCTGCTGAGTTCTCAAACGCAACACACACACATCTCCTTGTGGCTTGAAGCAACAGTGAGCTCAGAAATAAATAACTTAAGAAGAGAAAAAACTTCCACTCCTTCTGCGACACCAGCTGCACTCCCTGAGAACTGAAGGGCCGGTCCGCCACCCCCCATGTTCATTACTTGTCTCCTTCCTGTGACAAAAGGAGGGTTTGTTTGGTCCTCACCTCACAGGAGGTGAGGCAGGAGGCAGGGGGTGGCTGGTCAGTTTCCAATCAGGAAGCGGAGAGAGATGAATGTCCCTGCTCAGCCAGTTTTTTCTCCTTAATTAGTCAAAGACTCCAGTCCACGGAGTGGAACCATCTAATTCAGGGTGAAACTTTCCACCTCAATTAATCCAGTTTAACTATAATTTCTCACAGGGGTGCCTAGGGACTTGTTTCCATGGTGACTGTAAATCTTGTAAAGTTGACAGTCAATATTAACCGCCATAGCCTTCTGTTCTGAAGAAGCAATTCCCAGCCTAGCCCTGGGTTCGTGAGTGGTTAAAAAGCCCCAGCCAAGGCAGCAGCCCAGGCCCGGGCACTTCAGCTGTAAAGCCGGGGCTAACCCCTCTCACTCCCATTTCACGGACTCCCACCCTCAGGTCCCTGTAAGACCGTGTGTTACAGACAGGGAGAAGAAAAATTGTTTCTGTGTTTCACCCCCTCGTATTTCACCCTGGGAACTTCAGACCAGCCCCAGGACTGGCAATCCCAAGCAGGGGTTGTTCAATAATGCTTTTTATTATTATCACAAATGCAGGGTTCTTCTACCGAAGTACGGGAACCATGTTTCAAAAATCTGCAAAGTGGAAAATAGGTGAAATTTACCAAGAAGTCAGTGAGTTGCCAAACAAAAAAAAAAAAAAAGGGAGGGGCATGAAGTTGAGGGGCTGGGGGTGGATCTGAGAGGAGTTAGGGGAGGCGTGGGGGATGAATATAATCCGAATACATTGAATGAAATTCTCAAAGGGTAATAAAAATATTACATACTTTTTAAAGTGGCCCAGTCTCTCCACCTAACATAGCCCTTCTAGAATCATCGTACAGTCATCTTGTTATTTTTATCTTATTTTGTCAGTTTTTGGAGACAAGCTCTCCTTCATGTATGTCAGGCTGACTTTGAACTCACTTTATAGTCAGAGATAACCCTGAAAGAGAGCCTGCTTCCTCTACATTCCCAGCGCTGGGATTACAGATGTGCGCTGTGGGGACTGGAGCCAGGGTGCTGTGTGTGATGGGCAGGTATTCTGCCAACTGAGCTCCGCCCCCGACCTCCCTCCATGCGGTCATCTTTGATGAGCAGGGATTTCTGCATCTCCGTGCCAGGGACACTCTCCTTGCTTGGTGTCCAAACAATGCTTGTTTCCCCGGAAACTTCCTTAAAGATGCCGGAGGCTGAAGAGCAGAGCAGGGTGGGAAGGGACACTCCTGAGTGACGATGACGACGTCAGTTCCAGCTGTGGGTCTTCTGAGACTCAGGCTTTCCTTCCGGTTCTCCTGTCCCTAACAGCCCAAGCCCAGATGGCTCTTGTCCTCCAGTGCCCTGGTGTGGGGAGTTATCCTACAAAAGCCCATTCATCAAAGTCTTGGTTGTGGCCCCTGGCACTACTGGGAGCTCGTGAAAACTTTAAGATGTGGAGCCTAGTGGGAGGCTTTCAGGCCTTTGGGGTGTGTCCTCAAAAGCCATGGGGGAGTCCTGACCCTCTCCCCACTTTTTACTTTCTGGCCATGAAGTGAGCGGTTTCACTCTGCCTTTGCCATGATGCCCTGCCCCACCACAGGCCCCAAAGCAATGGGGCCAATTTACCCAGGACTGACGCCTCCAAGACCGTGAGCTCACATAAACCGTTTCTTTTTCTAAGCTGGCTTTTCTCTGATATTTGTTGTAGGAATGGGAAGCTGGCTAACATTCTACAATCTCCTGGCTGGAGATTCCCTAGTCCCTTCCTATCTGCCTTCCACACAGCCACCAGAGAGTCTTCCAAATCCCACCGTGCTGCCCTGCTCCCCTACGAAGTCCCAGTGGCTTCCCTTTGCTCGGAAGTTCTAAGGCAAGTCCCCTAGCAACACAGCAAGTTCCTTCACATTCTATCTCCAATGAGTTGTTCTCAACCTTGGCTACATTCCAGATCCGGAGGAGCATTAAAAACTGCCCATGAGTTGTTGTTTAATTAGTTTGGCTAGGTCCCAAGTATCTGAATTTTTATTTCATTTCCCAAGACCAGGTGCTGCCTTGTGAACTAGTTGTGGATTCCTGTGCCGCCACTGGAGAGCTGGCTGCTTCCTAATCTCAGACCCCAGGAGCGATGCAGGAACTTGCCTCGGGGCTTGAATCATTTTCCTTCCACTCTTCATCATTGATAGGCCGTCTTCCGCATTTAGAGATCTAAACCGAGAAAGCTTCCGTGTTACCAAGTCTGGCCTCATTGCTGCGCACAGCAGGCTTGCCCGTGCCAATAACAGGCTACCCCAGAGCATGCCTTGTGAGGGTTTATAGTCTCACCTTGACAGGGTTGAGAATCACTTGGAGATCCATTTCTGGGATGTCTGTCAGGGATTTTTAGGTGAGTTCAATTAAAGTGGGCAGATTCCCTCTACCTGTGAGCAGCACCGTTCCCCAGGCTGGAGTCCTGAACTGCACACGGAGAGGCCGGAGGAGCTCTAGCAGTCATCCCTCTCTGTGCTTGACTACAGACGCCTCAACGTCTGCACCTGCCTTCAGCACTAGGATGGCCTGAACCCCAAACTGTGAGCCCAAACAGTCCTCCCTTCTTACGGTCAGGTCATGTTGTTGCAGCCATGAGGCAAGTAACTAATATATGTTTCTTTGGCATATGGATTATTGTGGCCTAAGGACCTTTGAGAACAAGAGATTGAGGAAAAGGTCTAAACACACAGAGTAAGTTTTCATACTAGAAAGGATCATGGGGACGCCACTTTCTCAGGAAGACCCTTAACAGCACAATGGAGGAAGACACAGACATAAATATCTACAATAGATCTCACTGATCAAGTCTGTTTATCACTTTTCCTGGTCACTTTTCCATAGCTTACCTCACCTACCCAGGAACATTCAACTCCCCCCCCCCTTTTTTTATAGCTGAAGATGGCATTTAAGCCCAAGTCTCAACCTTATAATTGGGTTGCTCATTTTGTAGCACTAGGAATTTCTCATCATTTGTCAGGCAATGTTGTTGCAAAGTATCTTCGATGCCATGTTCTGGGGTATTCTTGAGATCCCAGATATCACCTGTCAAACAGTTATTGGTCTTTTGGAAGTTGAGATGATCATTCCATTCAAATTTTGTTGCTTATTCTGTAAGACACAGCTCAGCCTGGCTCACTCAGTCTTCATGATTCCTGGGCTGCACCTAGCAAGAGTCAGTCTCTGTTGGTTCTCAACATGCTCAGGTTAAGGTAATGAAAGTCAGCCTCTGCTTCATGCCACCTCTTGGTGTTCATGGCCAAAACAACAAATCCTGCGGGAGCAAGTATAAAGGCAAGGCATCTTGAGAAGTGTTCATCGCCATGTGTCACACTCATATTTGGCTGAATTTATGTGGTGTGGCTGTTTTGGAAAAACGCTTTCAGTCCCTTACTACATGTATCAGAATAATTTCCTGTTGACTAAAAGATGTCTTGATTAATACAATGTTTCCTTTCAGTACATATAAACATCAAGGGACAAATTCTTCAGCTGAATTCATCAGAGAGACATATTGCTTGATTGGTCTTTTTTGTCTCCTTTTGAGCAGGTTTTCTAAAATACCAGATTTTATTTTAATTATTTCCCCAACAGCAGCAAGTTCTGGCACATTGACAACACCCAGGTCCTTGGCAAGAGAGGAACCAGATGTATGCCAGAGTCCCAGGACCATTTCCAAGTACTAGGAAGTCATCGGGTGCCTCTCAGGAGGGAGGCGCAGTCTCTGGGGATGGACTGGGGCATACTGTGCACTCAGCCCTTGGAGAGGGAAGCAGAGACACTTCTTACAGATGGGCCTTGTCTGAGTACTTTTAAATTTTTGTGCAACTCAAGCTGCTTCTCCAACATAGAACCTCCCTCCACCAGGGCCGCTTGTGCCCACGGAAGACTTCTTGTAGCTCCAGAGGACACCGAATTGCCTGAAAAGAGCTATGGAGAGATGTGGAGATCCTTGTCATTGGGACCAAAAGAGACTGTGCCGCATGATAAGCTATCGTGGTGCCAAAGGAGAGACATGTGGAGAACCAGGTTTGTTTCGTGCAGACAGCAGAGACGGTGTGCTCATCAAAGAAGCTGAGAGCCTCTCACAGCTCCACTTGGAGTGGGGAAGTGGTTCGTTGCAGAGGTGGGAAGACACTTCCATCACCAGTCCCAAAGCTTGTTATTTCCCTGGAGGTAGATACTCTGTTGTCTGAGAAAGATGAAGTCATCCCTGTTGGTTTCAGGGTGTGTACACGGAGGGGCAGGACCCTGAGGGGCCGGACGGAGGTGGATTAGAAGGTTGATAATGTCTGGATCCAAGAGGTGGTGGCTGATGAACCACATGGGCATGCTAAGGAGCCAGCACTCACCTGGGGTGTGGAGGCTGGTTGGTAGAAGACAGCTCTGAGTATGTGGGCCCAAGCCAGTACCCGGGAACAAGCTCAGACATGGGGACCCACCCCTGAACTGTGATCTCATCCCTAGCAGGCCACCACTCTACAGCTGGCTTGTCCACGACTTCTGCACATGGAGAATGGTACCTGCTCATCACCTGCCTAGATACAGCCAAACGCTGGAAACAATGTGCTCCAAAACAACCCCAAGCAGCTGTAAGATCAGCATATCCCAAGCTTGGCTATGAACTTGATGTTATCACTGATTAGCTAATGTGGATCTGTTGGTCCTACATCACAGTCAGCCACAAATATGGAGGCCATGGGAAATTGGGGACTGTGGTGGCTTGGATGAGATGTCCCCACAGTTTTGGGACATTTGAACACTTGGTCCCCTGTTGGTGGCACTGTTTGGGGAGGTTTATGAGGTGTGGCCTTGCTGGAGGAAGTGTGTCCCTGGGGAAGGGCTTTGAGTTTAAGACTGAACCACTTCTCATTCACCCTCTTCCTCCTTGGGGTTCAAGACTTACTCAGCTTCCTGCTCCAGCTGCCATGTCTCCACTATGCCATCATAGACTCTTAGCCCTCTGGAGCCATAAACCCACATAAAGTCTCTCTTCTAGAAGTTGCCTTGGTTGTGGTGTTTTATCACAGTGATAAAAAAGTAGCTCATGCAGGGCCAGAGGAGAGGAAAACATTTCTATGTGGTTTTGCTATTGTTTCAATTATCTGCAATGCTTTCCCTTTTTGGTCTGTGTGGCAGAGGCCTTTCCATTTGTTCGAATCACCTTAGTAACGCTGGACTTTGTTTTTTGAAAGATTTAATAACAGTAATAATAATATTATTATTATTTGAGACATGTCTCACTGTGTAGCTCTGGCTGTTCTGAAACTCGCTCTATAGACCAGGCTGGCCTCGAATACACAGAGGTCCACCTGCCTCTGCCTGCTGAGTGCTGGGATTAAAAGCATGTGCCACCGTGCTTGGCTTACAGTTTATTTTTACTTTTTATTATATGTAAGCGTGTGTGTATCTGTGTAGGTATGTGCATGTGAGTGTGGTGCTCATGGAGGTCAGAAGAGGGTGACAGTTTCCCTGGGGTTGTCCGAGGCAGGTGACCTGCCATGGGTGCTAGGAACCGAACTCAGGTCCTCTAAAGAGTATAGGCTGTCTTAGCTGCTGAGCCACCTCTTCAACCCGGAGTGCTGCCTTTCTTGAGCTCCTCTTGAGAAGAAAGACTCCATCCTTCACTCTGGTTCCATTTGTGCCCAGTCATAGCCAGGTCACGATGAATCACATTCTTCTCGTTCCTAGTACTTAGCTCCTAATTACTGTTCAGAGAATAAGTGAATGAGTGAAGGAAGAGAATTCAGCAGGAAAAGAAACCGCTCTGAATAGCGTCTGCCCATTTCCAAGGTCCCTCAGTTCAACTCAGCTCTGCACCTACTGGGAAGTAAAGGTCACAAGAGCCTTGTTCGTCCCAAGAGCTGCGCTGTCCCCCTTTGTAGGTCATGCCTGTGGTTCTAATGGCTGCTCCTGGCTGTTGTTCCCTCCCTGAGCTCAGGGGACCTCACCATGGGCTGTGATTAGGACAGTCCATCCTCACCCCCAACTCTCGCTGACCTGACTCCACCAGTCAATGAAAGGCTTCACCGAGGGACTACCATCCATTGTTCTCCACAGACACAGTGAAGAGGTGCTTGGGGCACCGGTCCTGGAACACAGCCAGATCGGAGATCACAGTAACACCCCTTTTAAACCACAGGATTCTGAAAGAGGAGTCTAGCCATGTTGGTGACACAACTGGGGTCCCAGCTGTGTGAGAGGTCGAGAGAAGAAAATCACATGTTCAAGACTAGCCTGGGCTACGTAGTGATCTATGGCCAGCCTTGACCCTGTCTTAAAACCCTAAATCAACCAGTCAGTCAATCAACCAATAAATAAACAAGCTCACAGCTCCAGAACTTTGTAGCTTCTCTGTAAGCTTGATCATTGCTTCCATCAGGTATGAATAAATGAAATGTGATACATACACGATGCAATTATCCAGGCCTTGAAAGGAGTGAAGGCCCAACTCATAGCACAGTGTAGATGAACCTGAGAAATAATTACCCTAAGAGACAGAAGCCAGCTACAAAAGACCACATCTTCCATGATGCCATTCAGAGGAAAGCCGTAAGCAGAGAAACCCATAGAGACAGAAGTTAGATGAATGATGGCCGAGGGCTTGATGGACATGCAGAAAAGGGACCAGGATGAAGGAGAGGTGACAGCTAGTATTCAGTTTCTTTCAGAGTGATGGAAATGTTGATGAGCAGGGGTTTCTGTGACTACACCAAAACCCATCGAACTACACATGTTAAGCAGTTAAACTGTCTGTATGTGGATTATATCTCAGGAAATCCATTAAAAACAAAACAAATCAGAAAACCGAATCGACGGGTTGTGTGTGAGAGGTATGAGACAAAAGGGAAGCAGAGACATGGCAGCAGTCTCCCCCTCTGTTCACCCCCACCCCCTACCCCGCAGTCACCGCAGCTAATAAAAAGAATGCATCTATTTGTGCCTGCTTCCTCCATGTGTCCTGAGTGGCTGGTGCACACCTGCCCGCCTTCCGCCTCACCTGTGAGAGCCAACACTTTATTGGTTACTGTCACCCAAGAGAGGTCAGAGCAGGTGTCTGCGAAGGACTAGACGTGGCTTCTGCAGTCACTCCCCAGGACATCCACTGTCGGAGTTACTAAGGTCTTCTTAGAAAGTCGTGGATAAGGTCCAGGTTTCACACTTGTGTAGCAGGAATCTTAACAGTTCTTATTAATAAAATCAAACCTGAGGCCAGTTATTGGGGTGAATTCTGGCAGATCAGATGCAGAACAAGCCACAGCTATCTCACCTTGCCAATTCCTCAGCTGGTCCTGTTTCCTCAGGCTGGAAGCCTCTGAGTCCTCATCCAGAATGAATCTTAGCTGAACTGTGTTGCTCCAAAGCCTGAAAGCTTAACCAGTCAAATGCTTAACCAGGCCAAATGCTTCTAGTTTCTGGTCCTCACGCCCTATATACCTTTCTGCCTTCTACCACCACTCCCTGTGATTAAAGGCTAGCTTTCTGGGATTAAAGGTGTGTGTCACAATGCCTGGCTGTTTCCAGTGTGGCCTTGAACTCACAGAGATCCAGACGGATTTCTGCCCCTGGAATGCTAGGATTAAAGGTGTGAGTGCCACCATTTTCTAGCCTTTGTATCTACTGGCTGTTCTGTCTCTGACCTCAGATAAGTTTATTAGGGTACCCAATATTTTTGGGGAACACAATACCACCACACACTTGCCTGTCAACCAGCTTGACCTGCTGTTCTATCTGGGTGTGAAGCCATCTCCCCCCAGCTTTGATTTTCCACTTCCCTGTGGTATGGAGCGTCTTCCCTGGCTTCTTGGCCATTTGTTTTTGGTCTGAAAGGACAAGGCTCCTCTGGCAGAGCCATGGACCATCTCACCCTCCCTCCCTCTCCTCAGTCCCTTCCCAGGTCACCACTCACTCAGCAAGACAAGGGACTCCTGAACAAGGGGGTCTTAACTGTGGCATGTTTCTGGGTTATTTGTTTGTTTTTATCGTGTGTTATTTTATGGTATGTGCATACGGGTGTACCTGCCACATGGCACAGGTGGAGTTCGTTCTCTCCCTCCACCTTTCCGTAGGTTCCAGAGGTTGAATTCAGTCCTGTCGGCAAGCACCTTTACTCACAGAGCTGTCACTGGCCCCCTGCCCTGCCCCCGCCCCAACCCCACCCCCCGCCCTGGCCCCACCCCCGCCCCAGCTTTGCTATATGTTTACAGAACAATGCTTAGTAAGTGTGTCAATACATACCTTCTCTGTCAGGCAGCTGGCCAATGAGCTTGCAAATGCTCCACACTGGGGGTTATTTTGTTCTTGGGTCCCAATAGGAAATCCCTCAGGAATGAATGCTACTCTGCTCTCAGAAATGATGTGACCACAGCAGTTGCATATGACAAGTCTGAAACTCATACATGTTCCTTCTGTCCCAGCTCTTCAAACTGGGCCCGAGGAGATGCTTCCCGAAAAGTTCCTGGGTTGCCGGGCTTCTCACATCTTTGAAATGCTTTCTCCATCTTTAGTTATTGCTTGCTTCAGTTTAACTCCGCTGACCTTGGGCAGGTGACAGTGTCATAACCAGGGGCCCACAGGAGGAGAACTAACCCGTCCTCAGCACCTGGGGGAAGCCAGGCTGAAGTTTCCATGTTTGGACACAGCCTCCACTGAGGAAACAACCTCCGTGAAATATTTACAGCAACAGCTGCTTGGCCCCCACCCACACAGTCTCAGCCTGACCAGTGGTGTTGGGGACATCTGGGTCTATAAAGGGTTAATGAAAAAGAGGGAATTGAGCTGAATGGAAGCAATTCATCCAACAGTGACTCACTGAGTAGAGACTGCGTTCCAAGCCTTCCGCTGCTGAGAAATCACAGTTCAGTTGGACACAGTCACAGGGTTGGGAGAATTGGGAAAAAGAAGCCAAGTGTTGCCATGGAGTTGAGAGAGGAACAGCTGTGTGGGGAACACCTTGGCTGAGCAGGGCCACATCGTTCTTCCTAGGGAGACTCGGGTGTCAGGCAAGGTTCCTCAGAGGACAAGAGGCTTGAGAAGGGTCTGGAGAGCGATCAGAGGCACAGAGGGGCGGTCAGAAGAGGGCACAGCGGGGAAGCCACAGAGGTGAGGAAGCATAGCGCATGTCCCAACACATCCGTGGTCTGGTCTCCATAAGAGGCAAAGGAAGAGTCTCTCCATAGAAGGGGCCACAGCGGGAGGCTGAGTTTGGTCATTGCAGACATCAGGAACACACCCTTCACCCTTTAAAAATCTTATCTTGACCGCAGTGGGGAGAATGGATAGGGAAGGCTCTTCTGGTCACAAAGTGAGAACCGGTAAGGGAACGGATGAACGAAATAGCTCTGAGGGTGGAACACGGTGGCTACATCCTAAAAAGAGAAGGGACTGACCAGGACTTCAGACGTGGCTGATGCAGGGGACGGGGGCTAGGGCCGCTTCACGACCCTGGCTTGAGTCACCAGGTGGCTCAGGGTACCCATTGCCAAAAGCAGAAAACACGAGGTGCTGTGTCTTGATGCGTCCCCTGAAGTGCGTGGGTTGGAAGTAATTCCTAACAGCAGGGGCGGCCGCAGAGCCTGTGGGGCAGTTCTGCCCGGAGGCCTCTGCGCTCATGAGTGAAGAAGGCTGTCACTGTACTGGAGCTCAAGCAGACATCTGCTTCAAGTGTTGGGCACTCGCTGCCCATGTGAGCCCTCCAGCCATGCCATCCCTGATGCAGGAGGAGGTCCCTTCTAGACATGCTGCTCGAGGTTCTGTGGCTTTTCATTTTTTATCATACGTTACGGGTGTTCCACCTGTTTGCTGTCTGTGTACCGCGTGTGTGCAGTAACCTGCAGAGACCAGAAGAGGGGGTAGGAGCCTCCAGAACTGGAGTCACAGGCGGTTGTGAGCTGCCCTGTGGGTGAACGGAACTGAACCCAGGTCCTCTGCAGTAGCAACACGTGCTCTTCACTGCTGAGCTGGAGGGGAATCTTTAATTTCTTTCTTTTTTTTTTTTTGTTTTTTTTAGGCAAAGTTTCTCTGTATAGCTTTGAAGCCTGTCCTGGAACTCACTCTGTAGACCAGGCTAGGCTGGAACTCACAGAGATCCGCCTGCCTCTGCCTCCTGAGTGCTGGGATTAAAGGTGTGCGCCACCACGGCCCATCTTAATTTCTTTACAGTCCTATAAAAACTTCCTGAGATATGCCGGGCGGTGGTGGCACACGCCTTTAATCCCAGCACTCGGGAGGCAGAGCCAGGCGGATCTCTGTGAGTTCGAGGCCAGCCTGGACTACCAAGTGAGTTCCAGGAAAGGCGCAAAGCTACACAGAGAAACCCTGTCTTGAAAAACCGAAAAAAAAAAAAAAAACTTCCTGAGATAATCTTAGCG